TTAAATTTTTTATTTTATTGAGTTTATAAAATGTATTTTATTAAAAAAATCTATTTCGCATAATTTTTTATATTAAATATTCATCAGATTTTTGGTTCAGTTAGAAATAGTGCCCTAAAAGAATTCCATAAATTTCAAGTATGTCCATTGCCATTTTTAAATATCATGCACGCAATGTGGAAACATACAAATTGTGTCACGAAGCGGATTAATTACAAATATTTGTGGCAACAAACTTTCTGGTTAGTTCCAAACTATTTTATCAGTCAGTTGTAAAGTTAGAAGTAAATGCTTTTAAAATAAATAAAACATCACAATTCTTGCAACAGTAACATAATTCGAAGATCATAAGGGGTTTAAGGTGTATGAGGCCCCTTAAAACAGTCAGGAAAACAAAACAGTAAAAGTAATCTACGTCTTTATCAGCTCAACTCCTACAGATCGAAGTAAACAGTGGGAAAATAATGTGAATCTATAGCATTAAAAGCATAGACAAATCTATGTGCATTGCAACTTATGATGTTTAACACAGAATTCCCTTTTTCTTACTGGCAATAATATTGTTTTCTTCTTTACTCTGTGTTTTGATTCTTCACTTGTACATTTTTGAGCCACCGTTCATTTACTTTAGCAGAATGAGTCAATCGATTAGGCTATTTGTTGCTGTCCTAAAAAGAGTATGTTTTTTTTTTTTTTTTTTTTTTGTTTTTTTTTTTTTTTTTTTTTTTTTTTTTTTTTTTTTTTTTTGTTTTTTTTGGTTTCTTAAAAGTTATGTATTAGAATGCAGGATTATGTCGACTTGTCTGGAAGAATATATATTGCGAATAAAAACTTTGTCAAGTAGAACATCTATATAATATTATCTTTTTTTGATGTAATTTAATAAACTATGAATGGCAACAGTGGAGGTTTTTACATTTATCTGTTGAGCTTGTTCTTTTTTTATTAAAAAATGAGAAAAATGGCTTCGAATTGCTTTTCATGTATATTTGAGAATTAATGAGTATTATCTGACACCATTTATATTTTGAGTGTTGTTTGATATGTCAAAGCTACAGTTGTCACTTGTTGGATTAGTAAAATAAACTGTTTGTGTTGTCACAAGATGTTTTATTGAATAATTGGTACGATCTCGTGGTGTCGTAAAGCTCGCTTCGAGCTGCTCGGTTTGCGGTTGCTTTCTCGTGTCTCCATCTATTAACACCTCTTAGAAGTGCAGCAGTACATGAGTGTGGTTTACCCGTGAAGACTACGATGACCTCATGATTTAATCCTAAGTCTGTTACGTGGCAGTCAAATATCATGTCGCTAACTCAAAAGAGCTCTGTTGTGATAGATTCTGGTATTTGGACTGGTTTGTAGTGCGAGCGTTTGATTGGCTATTTATATCACTACAAAAGTATTACGCTCAGTATGCTATGAAAGCAAAGCCCTGCTGTGCCTCTCACCTTCTCTTATTTTTCGTAATTTAATTCAACTATATTAGAAACATGACATATTCCACACTTTCTAGTGATATCAGTGCGAATTTCTATTTCTTATGATATCCCTGATTTTCTTTGGGATGTAACTTCTCCACAATCACTATATGTGGAGTCACTGGGAGTATTAGTTTCTAAAGACCTAAAATTTACTGTAATTTGTTCATAGAAATTTGGAAAGGTTTTTCTAAAAGCAAATTAAGTTTTAATTTCTTTTCATTTTCCTTATATTTAAATGATTTCATAATTTATGAAGAATTTGCAGAAGTTGAAGGAGAAAGTACTACTACTTCTACCTAATTATATCGATGAAATAAAAGTGTTTTTACTTTCTGTTTAGTATCTGTCCGGCAATTGCTTCTCTAATCAATTAGAACTTGCGTAATTTATAATGCGTATTTATGTGTATCGCTTAAGTATACTTTAGATTTGCTACACATTTACCTCTGGTGTCTGCTTCAATGTAATAGCGTGTTATTGCTTGCAGTTATGGAAGCGATGGCTTTCGAAATTTCGAGATTTTTAAGTGTTAAATATACTATAATGTTTAAATTATTTATAATTGTATTTTGTTTGTCATATATTTCGGCAGCTCCAGTTTCTCCCTCTATTTCTTCATACAAAGAATTTATGAAATATTTGTCCCAAAATAAATGTCGCATGCCTAAAGGTATAAATGTGCCATATCCAACATTGAATGCTCCCTTAGAGCTGTGCCAAAAAGACGACAGTATTCAGAGAAAAGAAACACTATATTTATGCAAAGAAGCATTTCAGACTGTGAAAAATATTACTTGCAGTTCGGTTAACGTTGTACCTCCTATTCGCGTACCATTGTCTCCTGATGTATGCCAGGATTTTACAAACTTGCATGAGTTAATCCCCAAATCCTCAACGAGTATTGGAACGAGGCTTGCAGACACACTTATATGTAATATTATATGCGCCGATGAATTAAATGAAGTGTGCAGATTTTTATTATGGACTTACCAAGTTCAATATAAAGTTGCCAGTAAGTTTATATATTTATTAATTGTTCATGTGATAGAGAATTAATCAGATTTACAATTCTTATGTATGTGTACAACAAGAAATAATTTTTTTAAGACTTTCAAAAACTTCTAGAATATATGATTTTTGTAACATATTTGTATATAAGTAATACAATATCATTTTTTTATATAGTTGTATGTAATATAAATGTAGAGTTATTACTGTTACAGTATGTGTGGATTCGTTTATCTGAACCTCCTTTTTAGTTCCATGTAGTTTAAGTGAAATGCATCATACTTTATATTGATAGAAGATTATTCATTGATTCTGATAATTTTGTGCTTGGGGATTTTTTTTTTAAAGTGAAAATAGGTCGAGTTACATGGATAAAGCAAGGATGCACATCCTTTTGTGCATTCGGAATTTTTTTAATGAAAATAATTCGATGTGTACATGGATACCGAGTTTGTGCAATTGTTTGTCTTGATTTTGGCTTTGTGTAGCGGCGATTTTAGGCAAATCGCTGCTTTGCAGCCAAATAACGAGTCGAAATTGCAAAATCAGTATCATGTACCGCCAAAATCACCATTTTTTGCACGGGTACCCTAAAGTTATTTTGAAGAAATGTTAATAAAGTAAACAACAATCTTAAGCTTTTTTTTTTTGGTAAATTTTTGATACGTTTAGATCATAATTTCTTTATTTCATAAATTACGGAATGATCTTTACATTATGGTACTTGTGTTTTTTTTGGGAAAATTTGGCGACTAACTCTCTACGCAACCCCTTTTTTTTTTTCCGCCGCCATTTTGTCTTCACGAAGTAAAGACATGTTTCTTTTCTTTTTATCTACTGAACACTTCTTCCAACATCTACTACCGAATTACACTTATGCTAGAAATTTTATCAAACAAAACTGCTTAATCATGACAAATATTCACTGCAAAATTGGGAAAAAGTGCACAATACCATACTCCTTACGCGTTTTTCAAAATAACACATACACATAAACCATGTACACGCCGACTTATTTTTACTTAAAAAAACCCAGAATTGCACAAAAATGCCATTGCGCACACTCTTCACTATATCCATGTACACTGCTTTTTTCTCATAAATTAGAAAATTTCACGAAAATACATGACAATTTTCTCAATCTTTAAACCCGGTAAAAAGAACATATATGAAATTACCTGATCGCGAAAAAGTATTTACCTTTTACAAATATGAACATTTCCACATATAAAATAAATAAAATATCCAAAAACTTTTACCTCTAAATCATCTATTACATTACAACACGTCACCAACGAATTCATACCGCAAGCATTACAAATACTTAGTATCAAATATTTAAATTATTTCCATGCACTTTACTTCAACTTAACGTATACCAAATTCCTACAAACATAAAATTCACAAAATAACTATCATTTAATTAAAATATCACTAAACCATGTACACGGTCACTTATTTTTACTTAAAAAAACATCCCAGAATTGCACAAAATGCATTGCGCACACTCTTCACTATATCCATGTACACTGCTTTTTTCTCATAATTAGAAAAATTTCACGAAAATACATGACAATTTTCTCAATCTTTAAACCCGGTAAACAGAACATATCTAAAATAACCTGATCGCGAAAAAGTATTTACCCCTTTCCAAATATGAACAATTCCACATATAAAATAATAAAATATCCAAAAACTTTTACCTCTAAATCATCTATTACATTATACACGTCACCAATGAATTCATCCGCAACATTAACAATACTTATTGTCAGATATTTAAATTTTCCATGCACGTTTACTTCACTAAAACGTATACCAAATTCCTACAAACATAAAATTTCAAAATAACTATCATTTAATTAAACTATATTAATTCAAAAACACTCTTAAAATATAAATGACACATACATTAAATTAATACATACATAAACCCATTTCGAATTCACTTTAGTTACGGCCATGGGATCCAAAATTCACGAACACTGTTCACACAACCAGAATAAAGCCAAATACAAACTTTCCAGAATTTTCCCGATTCCCCCCTTTTTCCGATTAAAGAACCGTAATTCTTCCATTAATATCACATGACATATCCCTGATCTCTCATTCCCTCACACAAAATAATGCGTAATAACTGTACTGCTCACATTGTTTACCAAAGGCCTTGTAGTACTTTATCGCCTCCAACTGTCGCCAAACTACCAGTTTACCATATTGTAAAGATCAACCAATTAACGGTTTATTTAATTTTATTATTTCTGCATGCCATCCTACCAGATTTAAACTGATGATCTATAATCTGGAATCGCCGAAGTCCCGACAAGTCTGGATTAACGACTTTTGACCGTATCGACGTACCATATTTAGAAATTTCCAATCTTCAGTCTGTGGTACACAAAAATCCTTAACAGCATTAAAAAAAACTTTCTAAAATTATCTCATTTAGAATATACATACTGCATCACCACATAAATTCACAAAAATAAGAGTAAAAAGTATCCTCCATAGTGCCGTACCGTCGTTGGCATTTCTTGCATCAACCTTTGTTATGACTAACCCATCCAAAGCTATCTGAATGATCTTTACTTTTGACCATACACATTTCCTTTGTACAAACAGGACACTTATAATGACTACTATGTAAACCTTCTTTTATACACCAGACAATTAATGCTTTTTTCTTATTCATTCCAAATCATACAGAAACTGCACATTAATCTCATCACATAACAGCCATTTTATGGTGTACAGCACAAAATAAGCAGCGTACTTCCTGACTGACATCCAGTGCAGAAATAAGTCCTTACAAATATTTTCCCATCAGTCAAATTCACCACAATCATGTCATAATAGGGTTTCCATAACATTCAACTAACTCAGGTTACCATAAATGAAACAATAACTTGGCAATAATCCAAGGGGCACCCTAAAATATAGACTAACCAAATATTGCAAGCCAAGCAAGAAAACTTCAATTTGTTCTTATGTAACTGAAATGAAACTATTTTGTTAGTAACGACCATTACAAAAGTGAAATGAAAATATTTCACTGTATGGGGAGTCTGATGTTTCTAGTTGTTGAAAATTGATTAATCTTGTTATATAGTGCTATTTAGGTGTCTCAAAGATTCAGTTGTTATCGAAAGTTTAATTTTGCAATTCATACAGTTGTTAAGAATTTTTATAAAATTATCCAAACCAACAACCTTCTGTTTGAAGTATATTTGAACCAAGACTGCCAGTTTCAAAGGCAAAGGAGCACATCCCTCATCATCAGGAGAAAAGATTCTACAAAGAAGAAAGCTGTATCAGAAGCCAAACAGTAAAACAAATAGGGAGGTAGTGTCATCTATCCACAGAAATGGTAATGAAACATGAAAAATTAAGTTAATAGCATTTTAATTAAGAATTAGTTTGGAATTAAAGTCATTAACTAAACAAGATAAATCTTTATGAATGTGAAAAGCTACAAGAAAATCCAATTCACAAAATAAAACCTTCTGAATAATTTTTGTAGATCCATAGTGACCCAAACTGTAATTAAATTTCCAACAGTGATTAGCTATTGAAGATTTATTACTTTCTTTGTTTCGGGTTCATATTCCTTGATGTGAAACTCTACACTGTTTTAGTTTGATTGATATAACTCAAACCACACTGGCAAAATATATTAAATCCCCAAGAATTGAAGTCAGAAATAGGATCGTTAAAAATTGAACAATGGATTTAATTGATAGATGAGAAAATAACTTGGAACTTTTGGAGAATTAGTGCAATTTTGTAACTGATAGAAGAATTAAATGCAAGCACAACAAGGTTATTAATATTATTTCTAACAGCAGAATGTTTCTTCTCATGGCAAGATGAAAATTTTTAATTAAAGTTAAGCTTTATCAATAACTATGGGAAAAATTCTTTTGTCAGTGGCAAATGATTTCAAATAACTGAGCTCACTAGAAAGCAAAGATTCTGAGGAGCAAACTTTCAGAGTGTAAAATGCATAATAGTAAAAAGAAGCCTTTTTTTTTTCTTAGCCTCATACAATTTCAAGTGTTTATTGTTCATATATCTAAAATTTAGATATTTTGAATGGCGGGCACCTTAAAATTGATTTACGGGCACCATGTTGCCAGTCCTTGATATAGAGACTCTGTCCATATGAAGCTCAATTTTTTTTATGTCTTTTCCATACAAGGCTTCAAAAATTGATTTTAAAATGTTCTCTGCTGGTAGTGTAGCGAATTAATTTTAGCCTTACTTGAGATTTTTTCTAGTTTAAATATATATCTTTATAACAAAATCCCACAATTATCAGGAATCCTGCTTGGGAATTTTTCTGTACATTGACGAAATCATTTTGTTCAGTCATCTTCATTAGTTGAGTAATCAAAAATTTATCTTTTTTATTTCAGTTGCTTAAATATACCCATGCCTTATTTAGAGTTACCTTAAATTCCCATTTAGCTGTTGGGTGTTTTTCGTATAATTTTGTACAATTTGGTTCTCTTTCTACAGTATGCTTTAGCAAAAGCAGAAGTACTTTAAGTTTTAAAATCTTTTCTCAATTTCATATCTATTAATGATCTTACTTATACAGTCAAAAGTCGTTAATCCGGACTCGTCGGGACTTTGGCGATGATTTATCCGGATTATAGATCATCAGTTTAAATCTGGTAAGATGGCATGCAGAAATTATAAAATTAAAAATATGAAACCATAATTTATGAAATAAAGAATTAGGTTGATCTTTACAATATGGTAACTGGTAGTTTGGCGACATTTTGGAGGCGATAAAGGTTACTATCTGGGACTTTGGTAATAATGTGAGCAGTACTCAGTTCCGATTACACATTATTTTGTGTGAGGGAAATGAGAGATCATGGGATATGTCATTGATCTTAATGGACGATACGGTTCTTTAATCGGAAAAGAGGGGAATCGGGAAAAATCTGGAATTTGTATTTGGTTTATTCTGTGTTGTGTGAACAGTGTTCGTGAATT